TTTAGCGCAAGTTGCATCTATGAGTACGTATCGAATTTGTGGCTGTTTATTGCTATAACATATATCTGATACACTACCCATCCCCCCCTTTTTTTTTTGGCAGCTTCCCCTCATCACACAAGAAGCCGTTAACCCCTTTGGCCATCAATTTGATATGCATAGCAAATGAGGGGCTTTGGGCTCGATCTGACAAGCGTGTAATCTCTGCATAAGTGAAAGAAGCAGGCAAAAAATATATATATGCAAAGAAAAAACATACTGTCGAGGGTTGCCAGCCTGCCCTCGAGTCACTCACGTGGCTGCAACACGTGCCACGCTTGCTATCAGCTGGCGTCCAGGCAGGCCTCAAACTGCGGGGCATGCCCTGTCAACATGTGTGACAGATGCCGCATGTCATCAACAGCAAAATGAGAGTGAGAGGGAAAGATAGAGTCTGAGAGAGGGAGAGCAAGCGCAGGAAATTGGTTTTGCCTGGCAATCCTAGGCTTCAGCTAAAAACTCAACTAGTTGTATCTCTAAGATACACGCTTGCCTGCAAGTATCCGGCATTTGTCACGTGCCGTTTTCTGTTTGTTTGCTTAAATGCCTGGACAACCCTAAAGCTCCCCAAACACCCGCTACCACCCCCTACCAACCCCTCTGTTGTCTTCTTTGACAAATAGCTAAGCGTTGAGATACTTTTGCCTTGCTTTGGCGTTTCTGCTGCACAGCTGTGAAACATTTCCTGTGGTCATGTTTATGTTGACTGTTGGGATGTGCGTGTGCCTTTCTGTCTGTGTCTGTGTGTGTGTGAAAAAAACATGTGTGTGAAATCACTTGAAGCTCCAGCCTCGACACTCACACGTATCTGTTAGATACAAAACATATGATGCTGCGTTCTATGTTGCCTCAACCACACACAATTTATATAATGATGTCGCACTTTTACTCTGCCACACACCCTGCCCCGCCCCTGCAGCCCCTGCCATTGTCTGCGCATGGGGGAATATCAATTTTGTGTGTTGTTGTATTGGCAATAACTATTTATTAGATACATAGATACAATGTATCTGCGTTTTTATTTTCTGTGCTGTCTTCTGCGTTTTTTTGTGCTACTCTCAAATGCAATTTTATAGCTGTCAGGAGAATTTAACGCCAAGCGCGAAAATGCAGGCACTTGTCTCCCTTGCCCCTGCCCCAGCCGCTGGCCCTGCCCCTTGGCCCGTGTCACCATGTGCCTGCCACGCCTTGTTCTTTTTGTCTTTTGTTTGGCTACGTTGCGCTACTTTTTGGCTAACGATGAAGTGTCAAGATACATTTTGTTGCCGCTGCAGCTGCCTAGCCATTGTTTTTAGCTGCCTCTGCGAATAGGAGGAGAAGGGGCCGGCGGTTGCATGCCACTACAAAACTTGCATAGGAAATAATTTTCCGATATATTTTTGCTCCTTTTTTTGGTATTGTTGTTGCTTGCTTTTATGCATTGCGTGCAAAGCGTAAACAAAAGGGCCAGGCGCCCATAGAAAATGGAGCGCATAACCCCCTTTAAAAAAAAAGAGACCTTATAATATTCAGCGGGGAGGGGGGGGGGCGTGGTGCGCTACTCCCCACTGCGTGTGCACATAATAAAGCTAAGTAAATTGATGGTCTTTGCGCCGAAACTGACAAGTTGCAATAACAACAAGAAGCACAAAACTTTTCGATGGTAGATACAAGTTGGACAGCGAGAGAGATAGAGAGAGAAAGAGAGAGCGAGAGCGAGACAAACAGAAAGAGAGAGAAAATGGAGATGCGTATTGTGTAGAAACTCTTTTGCCATATTTGCCATATTGTTGGCCACCAGAAAATACAAAAAAAGGACCAAAGTTAGATAGGTAGATGGATGGGTAGATAGATGCTGGGTTAGATTGTGTTCGAATAGATGAATGACTGCTTCGGTCATATAGAATGCATGTGAATCATTTATCATGGCAATGGGAGGAGCAAAATATGCGGGCCAAAAGGTAAAGAAAAATGGGAAAACTATTACAAATGGCGGATCTAAAAGCAAGAACTGTCCCAAGAGTGCACAAGAAATACAAAAGCTGCACAGGGTAAACAAATTAAATTAGATTAAAACAAAATGAAATGCAGCTTATTATTTATAAGCTATAAAAATGCCATTTTGATCGCTAGAATGTTGTCGGAGTTCGTCAGCAAAAAACAGTTGAAATTTTAAACTATTTTGAAAGATTCTGTCAGTCAGTGTTGGGCAAATAAATGTAGCCAATTTCTGTATATACAGCGTCTTCTTTTTTTAAACGCCAGTTGCCAACACTGCTTCAGAGATCTCGTAGAACTTAAACTCCATTCAAATTATATTGCAATATGAAATATTATAATGTTTCATCTAATAAGGTTTTCAAGAAAACAGCGCTAACTTCATCAGGTATATCTATATATATATATATATATATATATATATATATTTATATCTATGACTTAGGATTTTGGTGCCAAGTGGGTTTTACTTTTAATTGACATAGTTTCATGCCTTAAACCTCAGACCCCGCACGTGCCCCTCCTCTTAACAGTTCCATTTCTTTTTCTCCATTGCTGCTTGTTGCGCCGCTCAAGGCCAAATGCCTTGGCCCTGGCCATTAGCTAAACATTGGCCAAGACACACCCACACACACACGGCTGACAGCTTATGGCCAGGCATTAATTCCCTCGCACCTCCGTCTGCTGCTTTTGCATCTACATAAATCAACCGCATAAACGTAATTAAAACATAAACAAAACACCCAAGAAAATTGAAGAGAAAAACTCACATATGTGCCATTAAATTATGCTGTTGTTGTTGTTGTGGTCTGTTAATATCTATTTGTGCAGAGGTCTGCGCCAAAATAAACACAAAAACAAATGACAATCAGAAAATCCCTTTAAAAAATATGTGAAAGTTGCACTTTGAAGTTAAAAATAAAAATTTCAAACAAAACGCAGACATTTTTTTAATGAAAATTCACATTTACAATAAAATATGTGAAATATTTGCATTACAATTTAAACAAGTAAGAGGTTCTAGTCGGAAGCTCCCGACTACGGGATACCCTGAACCCTCTTCTTCCAACATCAAATGCATATATATATTCTATTTTAGAAGCAATATGTCACGTTTGGTGACTCCAGCTCTTATTATTTACCAAAATTGCCCAAAAAACAGGATATCGATATCGATTGCTTGGAAACGGAGTAAATTATCGATTATCGGGAACAAACTCTGCGCGGGATTGGGAGCATATACATCTAAAATTTCAAGTCTCTAGCTCTTCTAGGTTCTGAGATCCTTGCGTTCATACATACGGACGGACGGACAGACAGACGGACATGGCTAGATCGCCTCGGCTATTGATGCTGATCAAGAATATATATACTTTATGGGGTCGGAGATGCTTCCTTCTACCTGTTACATACATTTGGATTTTGCACAAATACAATATATCGCTATACCCATTTTTAATGGGTTCAGGGTATAAAAAGCAAAATGCCAGAAACCAAAGGGTTCAAATGGCCGCAATGCAAGGATAGGTGGGCAACGGGCGGTGTGAGAAGATGAGAGGGAGTTGTCTTTAAAGGGCGGCAGTGGGGCAACGCGTGGTCAGCGCAACAACTGAGGCATACGGCATAAATAAATAAGTACAAAATATGCGTCACATGAGCAAAAATATAAAAGAAAAGCCAAATACCGCCCATTTTTTTTTCGGTTTATAAAAAATGAAAAAGCTTTGCCTGCATATTTGATGCGGGTGGCAGTGCCTGGCGCAAAGAATGCGTTCTGGATATGTAAATGATATTTTTCGAGTGGCCGCCAGTCAAACGCAGCCAATGAAAATGGAAAAGCCCAATGACCAGAAAACCCGAGCCAAGCGCGCCCGCTCCTGCCCTGACCTGAACTTTGCGGTCAAAAGGCCAGGGGCTCTCTTTCTCTCTCACTCTCTCGCTCTCTGTGATTGTGTGTTTAAGCCGCTTTGCCCGCCTGTCAGCCAATTCGTTGGCTTTGGATCTCCTTCTTGTCTTTTATAGGCATTTTAAATATTTCATATTTCTGGATTGTCGGAATTTTACAAGCCATGCATTTTTTAATAACCCAACGAGAAAAACCGCGCGCGACAATTTTCGGCACACGAAACGCGTCAATATTTATGAGGCTATGCGACACGACCAGCAGTTAACCCCCTACCCCCTCCCCACTCTTGACCTGATGCTCCTCTCCGCCATGGCCGCTCAGCTTGTTGCTCTGTTTTGGTTTTCTGTGTCGCAGTTGGCCTTTGTTTTTGAAAGAGGCCTCGTGATTTATGAGCAACGCAGTTTGATGCGGATTTTTTGGTTATCCCCTGTGGCTTAACTAGTTTGCCAGGCTCTCGCCGCTCGCCCCCCTCCCGCTTCTCTCTCGCAAAGAGCCTTTGTTTGCCACCCAGAGTCTGTCAATCAACGCGGAACTGTCGACAATGCCAAGCGATTTAATAAGCCTGCCAGCCAAACTCTTTGTGTAACCCGCCTTAAAGCTACGCCCAGAAAAGGGCTACAAAAAACGGTTCGTAGACTGTGGTTTGTTGTGGATTCCAAGCGAATTCCTTTATACGCAAATTAAGATTGTCTAAAGCGGCTTTATATATCAATTTGGATCTCAACAAGTTTAAATTGTAGCAGCACAGATCTACATTTTCCATTAAATGCAATCCCTACTTACATAAGTTCCCAAACAGCTCGGGAACTGCTCGACAGAAATCAAAGTAGTTTTTTTAAGGCTTTATATCTATGTATACAAATAATATATATCATAATTAATCTTAGAAAAAAACATACCCAAGTTCTGCCAGCTCGTAAGTTACTCGGGATCTACTCGACAGAATTGATAGAGGTTTTCATTATTATATTTAATCAATTTATACATATAAAATATTATATAAAATTCTGTTGATAAGATATCCAATAAGTTATTCACAACTCATTTTTTGAATTTCCCTCTCTCTCTCTCTTTGCAGGTAGGTGACAATGTACGTAATTTGTTTAGGCTAGAGAAACATGATATACATATATATGTATATACACAGATGCTCTACCCTCTTCTAAATAAACACACGCTATTAATGGAGGAGGTTTTTCTGTTGTTGGTAAAACGAGCGTATGCATTTGCGCACATGGCTCCATATTTTATTTACTAACCAAACGCGTAAAGTGTTCACATTCTGTGTTATATAATAATGGGAATCTGTATTGGTTATTTGGTAAACAAATCTCTAGATGGTCATCCGTTTGCGTCATTAGGTCAAAGTGGGGCTAAAGTGTGTGCCCGTGTGTGCCCGTGTGTGTATGTGTGTGGAGATATAAACTATTAGAAAACCATTTGCTTCGTTGGCGTTCTATTTTAGCTGGCAGCCCATTAAAAATACTCGTAACAAAAACAAAAATCCCCAATGTGGGCCAAGTTTCTGGCAGGTGAACCAGGCAATATCTTAAGTTGTCTTGGGAATTCATTAGTCACTCGCGCTCTGATTGTCGAAATCAACAGATCGGGCATATATAACTGTGAGGTAGCATTCAATCAGATATATATATTATTCCATCTTTTATTATTCTTTTATTTTTAACTTAGTCATCAGTTTTTTGGCTATTTTGGATTGCGTTTATTTTTGGCGAGCTAGTAAATTGTTTAATTTATTAGACCAGACAACGATTAGGTTTTAGCTTTGGGTATTTCATACAAACACATTTATAATTCATTGAAAATGAATCAGAACTCTTTTCCATTTGCATTGGAAAAAAGGTAGTCAACAAAAAAAGGTCTACCTAAGCCTAACAGAAATTTGCATAATAAATAAATTTAATATCATTTAGTTCAGCTTCAAAAAGCTTACACATACAACTCTTTAAAAATGTATGAAGAATTATTTTGGGGCAATAAAACAAGTTGTTAATTTAATTAGAATATATGCACACACATTTTTTTGCTTTGAATTTGGATTTGAAAACAGGTTTGACAGCTATTGTCTAAGATTTGTTAGGCATTCCTAAATAAATATTACTGTATATTATTTATTAAAATAAGCAGCGAGTGAGTGCGAAACGCATCAAAATGAAATAATTTCGACATTGACAGCTTCGAATAATTTAATTAAAATGTCAAACGAATTGATCAGCGATTATTTAAATCGTTTATTCATTTGCAAAATGTGGCTTTTTCTATTTATCTATAAAGAATGTCACATATAGCCCACACAAACACAGCCCAGCCCGAAAGTCATAAAACAATTTAATTAACTAGCGACTGGTCTAGCCTGCTCGAGCCTAGCCTACTATTCAAGTCCGAAATCTTTATATTCCGTTCTGGCTGTCTGCTGTCAGCCTGTCTGCATAGCAAGTTCTACCAGTAAGGAAAATGTCAAGATCATAAACAAAACCTAAAACATCAAAAATAAAAGAAAAGCAAAAATGTGAATTTTTAATGTGTCACGTGGTGTGCTTCAAACAAATTGAAAACTGAGTTCAAGTAGAATCGAGTTGAAAAAGATTGAACGGAAAAGCAAAGTGAATACTTGAAGTGCGTTAAAATGAATACAAGTTTATTATAGATAGTAGTTTTAGTTGATTTGAAAAGGAAAATGCAATTGAAATTAATTGAATTATTTGAATATTGAAAATCAAATTGAAAGCTTAAATTGAATTGTAATTTAAGTTGAAAAGGAGTTGAAATTGAATTGAAATTGAAAATGTTATTGATTTGACATTGAAGTTGAAATTGAAAGTTGTAATCAAATTATTTTCAAATTGAAAAGCTATAATTGAATTGATATTTAAGTTGAAGCGTAGTTCAAATTGATTTAAAATTAAAAATTTACTGAACTTAAATTGTTCAATATTGAATTGAAACAATAGTTGAATTAACATTCATATAATGCAATTTGGTTATTGAGGACTTGAATTGAAAGTGAAATAAATAAGAAAGTGTCTTTGAAAGCATGTAATTGAATTGAAAAGGAATAAATATGCAGCATCAAATTTTTTTTGGAACTAACATTAAAGAAAAATATGAATCAAAAAGCATTGAATATGGAAGAAAGTTGTCACAATTCAACAAAATGAAATGATATAAAGAAAAAAAACGCAATTGAAAGTGTGACTGAATTGCAGTTGATAGAAGTCAATTGAATAACAGTTAATGAAGACACAAAATGACTACACTTAAAAGGTTGTACAGGCAATTGAATTACAATTGAATCATAATCAAAATAACGATGCATTAAGTGTTGCAAAATGTGTCAAAGAGGGGTGTTTAGAAGTGTTTACACAGAGCTGTAATCTATGGAGCTTTTAACAAACTTCAGTTGCGCCACTCGCCAAATTTATTGTTATAAATTTTAATTAGTTTAGCAACGTATTATTTTTTTTCTTTTTTGTGGCTTTGAATCTAAAACTTTGCTAATTTTGTTGTGAACGTTGCTCGTGCGCAAATCGAGTGATTTAATTAAAAGTTGCGATCGAAATAAACAACAAGAAATACTATAAAAAGAAGAAGAGAACGAACTGCAACGAAATATTTAAAACATTTACTTTGGGCAATTAAACGGAAGTTTGGTTTTTGGTTTTGTTTTAAGCAATTTCCGGTTTCTACCTGCGGTTTCATACTATAAAAAATGCAAACAAATTATGCTAAATATTAGATTTAATACGGTTAATGAGCATTAATATTGGCTAATGACTGATTAAACCCATTGTATCGAATAAAAAAACTGACAGCGCATTGAACCACATGTTTCAACTCAATTTCAGAACGATTTAAATTTCAAATCAATTATTATCTGTTTGGGTATTGAAATAATGTGGCTATTAAAGCTGTGCTTGGACCTGATTTCGTAGGGCCTTGTCAGTTTTAAAGCTCCAGAGCTGGACTCCAACCAAAGAACTGATTGAAAACCAGTTTTATTTTTTATGTTCCAGCAGAACCAGCGGGAAGTTTCAACGCAAGACATAATTTCATTTTTTCTTTTGCCAAATGCGTGTCAACTCTGTTTTGCAGAGGCGATCAAAGCAAAATGTAACCGGTTCCGCGGACACACGAGAGGCAAGTGGCAAGTGGCAAGTGGGTAAGGGGTTAATGTTCTGCAGCAGTACCGTTAATCAAGGCGGTCAACATAACGGTAAAGCCCAGGCAAAGAGTTGCCACTGTTTCGATGCGCTGCTCTTAACTTTCTTTTCATTTAAGCCAAGTTCTTTCTCTCTGTCTCCCTCTCGCCCTCCCGCTCCCTCTCTCTCTCTCTCTCTCTCTCTCTCTCTCCCTCTCTCTCTCTCTCTGTATCTTGGCCAATTATTTGCGTTGCACATTTCGCATGTGCCTGACCTAATTCTCTGGACTCTCTTGCTTTACCGTTACTTGGCAATGTTCTCGGCTTGGGTTCTGAGTTTTATTATACCCTGAACCCATTAAAAATGGGTATACGGGTATCTTGTATTTGTGCAAAATCCAAATGTATGTAATAGGCAGAAGAAAGCATCTCCGACCCCATAAAGTATATATATTCTTGATCAGCATCAATAGCCGAGTCGATCTAGCCAGGTCCGTCTGTCTGTCCGTCCGTCCGCCCGTCCGTATGTATGAACGCAAGGATCTTAGAACCAATAAGAGCTAGGTGCTCCTTGAAATGTAGATGCTCCTAGTTCCCGCGCAGATCGAGTTTGTTTCCGATAATCGATAACTTACTCCGTTTCCAAGCAATCGATAACAATCGATATCGATATCCTGTTTTGTGGGCAATTTTGGTAAATAATAAGAGCTAGAGTCACCAAACTTGACATTTAGCTTCTAAAATAGAATATATATATGCATTTGTTGTTGGAAGAAGAGGGTTGAGGGTATCCCCTAGTCGGGAGCTGCCGACTAGAACCTCTTACTTGTTTTTATATATCTTCGTCTTTTTTTCTGCTGCTGTTTTTCATGGCGCTGTGCTCTTTGCGGTTGCTGCTGCTGCTGATGCTGCTGCAAATCTGCTGCCTGTTTGTATTACCTGTTTTGTCGTTTTGTTGTTTTGCTTTGGTTTAACGCGTTTGACCTTAATACCTTAAGAAAGGCGTCACTTGGGCTTTTTTTCTGCCACAGCGCTTTATATAAATTGTTTTGCTCTGCTTAACCCAAGCTAAACCCCTCTCTCTCTCCCCTCTCCATCTGTCTGGCCTGCACATTTGCTATTTTGACCTGTAGTTAAAGTTAGTGCAAATTGAACCTGCCAGTCAAAGCGGGCTCTCAAGCAGCTGATAATCGGGTGGACAGACCCACATTTTAGGAATAAACAAGGCTGCAAAATGTGAGCTTAGCCACGAGCTTAGCCACGAAGCTAAAAAACTGACCCAAAGCTAATGTAAAAGTAAGAGGAAAATTCATTGACCCTGTAATCAGAAGGAATGCAGGATGTAATTCGTAAAGTAGAACTATATAAAAATAATATCTATTTGAAGAAGGAAAAATATTATGGAAGACTGATGGAAATTAAATTCATTAATATTTCCTGTACCGTAGAACTTGAACTCTGGAGTATTGCATTCTATAGGTATCTGTATTTCCATCAACTTTGGAGTGCAGTACACTCCAAATGTGTCTGTGTTTATTTTCCTATAACCATTATTCCGATCTATCTGCAGTTGTTTATGATAATATCTTTAGAAGCTTAAATCGTCTTTCAAATATTAAGTTGTCTATAAGTATTATGGCGGATATAAAGAAGGCATTTTATATCTTTACTTCTTAGTTTTCGAGTATCAGAAGTATCTTAAGTTCTCTAGAAGATGGGACTTGACTCTATATCAAACATCGCTAAAATATTGCCTGAGCCAAAGATTATTGAAGTTGTAAATAATTGTATCTTTAATAAACCTGATGTTTAATCTATTTATATATGGCTAAAATGTTACTCGAGTGAAATTCTGTTGAAGCTGGTGATACAATTATATTTTAATATATTTAAATCGTATCCATTTTCTTATTATGGACAATTTATATAGCCTA